ACACCGAAGTTAAGGACAAATCACATCATCCATTGGGCTAGTTCCATATTGCCACTAAGAGTACAGATTTGACGTAAGAACTAATAACGATCAGAACAGTATAAATCAGCTTCAAGCATAATAGAGAAAAACAACTATAACAACAACATAAACAAAAAACTATCACTACTCAAGACCTAATCTACAAAAGCTGCTCGAAAATGTCTCCACCATGTTGAATACACAGCCTTAGGCTTTGGATAAATGACCGTTGCACATCCCTCAGCATGTGCTCCCTTATGTTCAGAAAAGCATGGTTAATCCTGTCCTTCATATTTTCCGGGGTAGATTGTGGATATCTATAAGTCTCTTGCTTAACGTAGCCCCATAGAAAGAAGTCCATCGGTGTCATATCTGGTGATCTACGAGGCCAAGATATAGGCCCATCACGACCGATCCAACGATTGTTACTCCAGGTGTCCAAATAGTTACGCACACGATCATGATAATGCGCAGGTGCGCCGTCATGTTGGAAGTACATATGCATCCGAGTTTGCAGGTTAACATCCTCCAAAAGCAGAGCCAAATGCTCGATTAAGAAATTCAAGTATTCTGTACCTGTTAATCTGTTGTCGAAAAAGAAAATCCTGATAGCTTGTCTGCCAATAACTCCTACCCAAACATTCAAGTTCCATTTATTTTGGAAATCTATTTGCCTAACCCAGTAAGGGTTTTCCGTCGCATAATAGTGCATGTTATGCCTGTTGACAACACCTATGCTGTTAAAAGTTGCCTCATCGCTAAAAAGAACCTTGTCCAGGAAAGTAGTGTCTTCACTCACTTTATTTAGCATTATTCTACTCAACTCCATTCGAGCTGCGAAATCCTGAGGACGAAGGCCTTGATGCAAGCATATGTGATATGGATGGTACCGATGCTTGTGAATAATCCTTTGGACAGAAGTTCTGCATATATATATATAACTTGAGACGTGGCCATTGTCGTCTAGACCAGTTAGGTGAAAAATTAAAGCTTCCGCTTTTTGTTGGGTACTTCGACAAAATTTAAGCAAAGAGGACTCTTTATACTTTTTTTAATTCTCTCTAGCTTTCAATGGACTTTGCCATCATCATCAGGAGCTGCAATTACAATGATAACAGTAGCAACAAAAGTGTAAAATGAATTTAAATTGAATCAACTTACAGTAGTATGTGATGATGTTGCTAATTGTTGTTTTCGTATAGGATGAGGGAAACGTCCAGTAACATGGTGAGAGCTGGATACATGGTACAATGGTTAAAATTATATAAAATATGACAAGACAAGTTAAAGACAGATTAAAAATTATTTAGAAAACATTAGATCATTACGTCGTGAAGCCACTTGATGATTGCACAAAATGGTGGTTATGGAATAATGAGTGAGATGAACCTTTGACAGAAGGCCGAAGGTTGTCAATGTCTGTGTTAAAAGATGGAACGAATTGTGGGCGTGTGCCAAAACGTTGCCAAATCACTTCAGATGATGTGATTTTCAGAATGTTATGTAAGAAATTGTTAGACCGACCAGAGGCAGTTGAATAAACTATATTTTAATTGATGGGAATTTTAAATTAATAATTATTAATAAATCGTGAGAAGAGAATTATTAGATTTTGAGTGGAATGAAATTTGTTGGTGGAATCGGCCAAAACACAGATTATATTTATGGTTGTGAAAAGTAGAAATTTGGGGAGATATGTAATTTTTCTAATTTTTCGCAGTTTAGCAAATATTAGTAAATGACACTCAGTTGTTTAATATCTGTCTTTTTGTTGATACAGTTGTTATTCATGAAAATGTGGGACATTTCCAGGAATAAACGTTTGGAAAGGTGTTTTTCTTTATCAAGAACGGATGAGTCTTGTGTCTACCATTGAAAAAGAAGATGAGAACCTGTCTGTCCCCTTTCTAGACACAAGACTCATCCGCACCAACAACAACAATTTATTGGTAGACTGGTACCAGAAACCTATGGCCTCAGGTCGGTTTCTCAATTTTAGGTCATACCATAAGCTAGGGATTAAAATCAATTTGGTAAAACAGATGAAAACAAGGGTAATCAGCATCTCAGATAATACTTTCCACACCTCAAATTTACATAAACTATCAAAACTGTTCATCAATAATGGTTATCCGAAGTGTCTGATTAACGAGATCTTATTTAGTTCACCTTCCAATATTTTGCCGAACTCTGGTGATGCAGGTAATAGTCACACAACCCCTAATAATAACGGAACTGATGTAATTCCCAATAATAGCATCAATCCAGACAGTACAAGCACCAACCCAGACTCCAGACCTGGTTTTGCTGTCTTGCCCTATATCAAGGAACTGACCCCTAAGCTGATCAGATTGTGCAGTCCTTTGAACTTTCGAATTGCTTGCAAATCCGTCCTCACTATAAACCGCATTTTTTCAAAAATGAAAGACAAAGTCCCGCTGCTTGGCTTAACTAACACAGTCTACTCCATCAATTGCAACAACTGCAACCAAATATACATAGGTCAGACCTCCAGATCTCTTAAAGGAAGGATTACATCACACAAAAGTGATGCTAGGCTTCATCCTGAAAGATGCGCTCTAGCATCTCATGTTAACACAACAGGGCATTCTATGAATTACACAAGTATCAAAGTTCTTGATAAAGAAAAACACCTTTCCAAACGTTTATTCCTGGAAATGTCCCACATTTTCATGAATAACAACTGTATCAACAAAAAGACAGATATTAAACAACTGAGTGTCATTTACTCATATTTGCTAAACTGCGAAAAATTAGAAAAATTACATATCTCCCCAAATTTCGACTTTTCACAACCATAAATATAATCTGTGTTTTGGCCGATTCCACCAACAAATTTCATTCCACTCAAAATCTAATAATTCTCTTCTCACGATTTATTAATAATTATTAATTTAAAATTCCCATTAATTAAAATATAGTTTATTCAACTGCCTCTGGTCGGTTTAACAATTTCTTACATAACATTCTGAAAATCACATCATCTGAAGTGATTTGGCAACGTTTTGGCACACGCCCACAATTCGTTCCATCTTTTAACACAGACATTGACAACCTTCGGCCTTCTGTCAAAGGTTCATCTCACTCATTATTCCATAACCACCATTTTGTGCAATCATCAAGTGGCTTCACGACGTAATGCTCTAATGTTTTCTAAATAATTTTTAATCTGTCTTTAACTTGTCTTGTCATATTTTATATAATTTTAACCATTGTACCATGTATCCAGCTCTCACCATGTTACTGGACGTTTCCCTCATCCTATACGAAAACAACAATTAGCAACATCCTCACATACTACTGTAACTTGATTCAATTTAAATTTATTTTACACTTTTGTTGCTACTGTTATCATTGTAATTGCAGCTCCTGATGATGATGGCAAAGTCCATTGAAAGCTAGAGAGAATTAAAAAAAGTATAAAGAGTCCTCTTTGCTTAAATTTTGTCGAAGTACCCAACAAAAAGCGGAAGCTTTAATTTTTCATCTATATACGAGTATATCAGTTTCTACTCCAATGCCGTGCACTTAAATGGGGATTTTCCTGTAACTTTAATAGAACCGTCAATTGATTCGCCTCATTGGCGACCCTCAGATTATTTATATACTTTTTACTATATTCCACTGCTTCACTTGGTTCAAAACGTTCTCGTACTGTGAAAAATGTTTCCGGCCTTGGATGTCGCATATTAGGGTACCGTTGCTTATAAATGCGAGATGCTTCGCCCAAAACGAACACCATATTCATCATTTCTTCTTTAAAAAAATTAATTTCCAAACACGTTTTTATTATAATGCTCACAAAGCTGATTTTGACAGTTTGTAACTAATCACCAATTTATTTATTTCCAATGATGATGCGATATTTTAGGGAATTAAGCTGTTCCACAAAAGACGTACTAATAACCGAAAAAAATAGCCGTAAAAACCCTTATGTGTCTAGTATAAAAAAAGCTTATAAAAAATTTAATCCAAACTTGCACAAATATAGTGTGTGATGCATTTGAAATTTTTGAGAAAAACTATAATTTGCGTTTTTGACCACCCTGTATGAGCAAAGATTAAAATTCGAAAAAGTAACAAATAAGATAAAAGCTGAGGTATGTAAGTTTTTTTTGATACAAAATTCAGGACTCCAGATTTCAAAATAGGGGACTGAGGGGTTGCCGAAGTGGGGGTTTTTCTATACAAAACACCTTATATCTCAATAGCTAATTACCAAAACCATATAGTATCTTATATCAATTTCCTTCTTTTGAATTGGTTTATTCAAATATGCCATACAATTTGAGGTATTCTATTTGAAAAATCACAACTTTGATACGTAGGTCGAAATTGGGACACCCTGTATAAGTAGTATCGGGACAACTTGAATTTTCAATTACTTGATAAACAGATGTAACAACTACTTGGTTTGATATCAGATTGCTAATATCTAATAATTGACTTGATTTCAAGTCGGATCATGTCGAGTCGTGAATTCTACTTCAAAGTCCTCTTCACGGTTTTCGACGGCGACCTAGCTTTCGACTTGATATTCCAATTCTGCCTTGGGCGTTTTCTACCAGTCTCAGTTTTCTGATATAAAATGAGATATCAAAGTTGCTGACAAATTGATGTAAGGTACACTTTCTTCAAAGTCTCTTATTGCTTGTTTAAAAAATTGATCTTTGAACAAGTTTACAATTTTAGTTTTGGGTAATCGTCCCACTAAGGCGTCGATATCCTTTCGAATTTAAAGCTTATTTTGAACTCAAATGTTGAAACAATTTGTTTACGTGCTTCATGGCCAGTAGACCAGACATCAAAATCGAGTTCAAGTTTCAGGGAAAACTGTTTCTTAAAACTATTCGGTCAGTTAGAGAAATGTAAATCCGACTCACCTGAATGCCCCATTCCCATTATGGTTCTTGCAGTGTCTATCCAAGTTCCATTTGTAGGGTGTCCGAAAATCGCACATGTCGCACTTGATCATAGGCATGGAATGGTACTTCACGTGTTTGGTGTACCGTGCTTTGATATGCGTGACGTATGTGCATTTGCCGCACCTGAAGAACTTGGTTTTGAAGTGCTGTTCGCTCTCGTGCTTGGCCAAGGTGGCTTGATATTTGGTGGTGAAGTCGCATACGGAACATTTGAATACTGCCGGCGATGGGGCGTTGGGGTCCATGGGATGGTCCTCGCCGCCATCTTCTGAGTCTTCGGGTTGCTCCATGTCCTGTGGACAAACACATTGTTGTGACTTTTATATGGACGGTGCAGCTCAAACTGAAGTCACAGAATCCTAACGAATAATTTATGTTCAACAAATAATAATGAACTCACCCTATTAGAAGAATTGATTTATTGATGATCCAGCACTTAGTAAAAACGCAAAAAAATCCTTAACAAAATGTTGATGATTTACTTTGAAAACAAGTAAGTTAAATCCTTTTATACAGTTACTCAAAAAGAGGTCCATGTGGATCCTCGGGGGTCCACGGGAGGTTCACGCTCACGTGAAACAAGCATGGGTGTTCCCAAGATGTAACTTGAGGTTCATGAAAATTTATCTCGGTTCGTTAGTAAGGAATAAAGATGACAGATACTATTTCAAGAAGACCAGCGACTATCCCTCGTAAAAACTGGTATATTCGCTAATCCGTACAAGTTTCCAAACTTGTTACAGTCAGAATGTCTTGGAGAGGATATCTAAACATATGGTGAAAATTCAATGTCATGCACAATGACTTCAAGAACCAGTTGACCATTTCCTGACGATGGAAATTCCACCATTTAATGAAAGCGAAGTGTCAAATATGGTATTGCAAGATGAGCTACTCGTGCTTAGTAATAATGAGGAGCTGAAGGAGAAATTTAAAAAGAGTATCAACCATTTTGGCAGCAGTCAGAAATACCCGAAGATATTCTGGGTTCTGGGAAATTGTGCGAACATTTTTCATATCATTTTCCTCCTCGTACCTATTAGAGAAAGATTTTAGTGTTGATAGAAATCTATTAGATTGAATATTCCAGAATGTAGAGATTTCCGTTTATTCTTTAGAGAACTGAAGTCAAATATTGATAATTTGCTAAGTGCATCTCTCCCACAAACAATCTAATATATTGTACTATTTTTGCACTATTTATTTGAATTGTGGAAGAATTTACGTTATTAATCTATAACTTTGTTCCTGCTAAGTTTGTAAGCATGCTATTTTATAATAAATAGGGCATAAGAAAGTATTTTTCTTTTTACTTTTACCACTCTGTCGCTCTTTTGAAATTTTGTAGAAAAAACCAGCAAAATTTTTAAGGTGGTTTATGAGAAAAAAAGGTTTGGTAACCACACCGCTTCTTTAATATACTTGGTTTCATACGCGGGTTATAATAATATTAGGGGCTGAATTGGATATACAATTTGAGGTAAGATTTCAGAAATTACATCATATTAATTCAATCCACACGAATATTCAACTTGAAACGAATATTTTTGTTAGTAAAAATAGCATTGGACGTTCAGTATCTATGAACATCGTTCAAGTTGAATATGTTTTATTTGCCAGACCAGTCTTTCAATACTTCTCATACGTCCTTATGTTTGTGGCTAAATAATTGCGTTATAAGAATACCCACTGTTCTATTGGCTGTTTTGAATGTCCAGACCAAAATATAATGAATGGCATTCCTATGGACATAATCTGAAAAACATATAGCTATTTATGTGAAGAGTGAACATCAGTAGTAGATAGCAGAAACATCCATATGAGCAAAATGATAAATAAATAATTCTTGAAAGAACATGAAATTCGCGATACTTTTTGAACAAACTTCGTATAGGGGGACTGGGTAATTGAGGGATAGTCTATTGTGTTTAGTCAACGAGAATGTATGTGGAAGAATATATTTGTGTTTGTTTATCATACAGAAGAACGAAACAACGCAAAATAAGAAGGGCAGAGTGGGTTCAACCGATTTTAAGCGAAGGACTTTTACAAACTTATTCCTTACACTTTATACCAGCTATCGAAGACATGAATCGACATTTTTTAACCACTTTAGAACGTCAATGAAATCGTTGTATGGCAGGATATAATGATTTGAATCATTACTTTATCGTATCAATTAGAACAAATCTACTTGATGTTTACTTTTTCATTCGGTTCATAAGATCTGCAAAAAATTCGGCTCCTCCCAGGTACTTTTTTGCCGTCTTATTTGAATATCATAACTTGAAACGTATATCCAAAATCGCAAGCCTCCGTACAAATTCATCGATAAAAAGGTCTGCGCCAACTGAATAGGTAATGGGAACGTATAGCATTTGAAAACGAGCGCGTATCAAGATACTCTAGTCTACAGTATATTCAGATAAGAGATAGACCGGACATAAACAAGACCGCGTGATCATCGAACGCTGTAACATTCGGCAGGGACGTATTAAGAGTCACGCAGTACATATTTTAGATAGTAGATGCTGCTTTGCGTAACTTTGTAGTAAATTAGCACAATTCGATGTGTATACGATTGGTGATGGATATAGGATCATGTGGGGGTGGGGTAAGAAATATATAATGATGTAAATATACATAAGGGTTTCAAAATTTTCGCTTCGATGCCGCCTGATGTTTGGTGAAATACAGTCGAATATAATCTCAAAATGGCGTTTAAATTAGCCTAAATTAAAAATAATCGTATATCTCTTAAAATTGCTTTTAGAATATTGAGTATATTTTTTGATTTCTAGGTAAATATGTAACCAAATTAAAACGTTCAAAACGTAAAAAAATGTGCATGGTTGAACATTGTCAGAAAGTAGATTCTTGAATAGGTTTTGCCAAAATGGGTTCAAAAATGTCAATAATTAATTAAAAAGTACAGTAGCTTTATAATTACTTATAACTTACCGAATTTCATGAACGACATCTTTTATTGGAAAGATGAGCCTGATGAGCTTTCATCATCGCTACTGCCTGAAGCACCAACGTCAATAATGAATGGCTCGACTTGTTCCTCTAAAATATTGTCCAGTTCCCACATTCTCTTTTCAACTTTGTCTTTCACGTGCTTAATACAGTTTTCCCATTTTTGCGCTGTTATTAATTCTAGTGCTTCTTTGAAAAGTCCTTTGAGGTCACAAAATTTAAAAGTTGTATTGTGCTTAGCTATATAATTTTTAACCTCTGCCCATATGAGCTCAATGGGATTGAGCTCGCAATGGTATGGAGGTAAACGGAGCACAGTTTTATTTTGACTTGCTGCCATTTCGTCAATGGCGTATTTTTGATATTCCGCCTTGTGATCCTTGACAATTCTTAATAATTGTACTTTCAGCATTGCTTCTTCAAAGTTGATATTTTTCGAGCGGAGCCAATTTTGAACATCAACTTTCCTTGAAGCCGTTGTTGGGACCTTCTCCATTCTTCGAGAATGATAAGGCGCAATATCCAACACAATTACTGCGTTTTCCTCTAAGTTCGGTAAAATTTTTGAAAACCACTGTTCAAACGATTCGCCATTCATTTCCTCGTGGTAATCTCCAGTTTTCTTAGACTCAAAGCACCACAGACCGTCAACAATAAATCCATCCTCACTGGCAATATGGCAGATAATGAGCCTTTTCTCTTTACCTGGAAATCGAAGTACTAACTGGTGTAGATTTATTTCAATAAGCGAACCTTTTTCAAATGTTTTCATCACATTCAGCGAAAAAACATTGAGACATGAGTATCAGATTGCTATAATTGGGATTATTTAGTCATATTGAAAGAAAGAATATTGAACGTCGTATGATTACTCAGCGCTTCACAATTTAATTTAAAGTTATAAACCTTTAAAAAATGAATGATCAGAAACCTGAAATACGCGCAAATATTAATATTAACAAATTATAACTTTATAAAGCTTAAAGTATGAATTAAAATGATTAGAAATATTAGGAACGGTACACAATATAAAACTTAGTAACTTTTTTTAAGTTTATAATATTCGACATATTTTAAGATTATATTAAAAAATTATTGAAATATCGAAAACACATAAAAACATGGCTTAAAAAAGTTCTAACAAATGAAAATGAAAATAAAACATCCACGCATTTTATCGAAAGTTATAAAAGTTTTGTTACTTGTCATATGTTTTATCTGCCCCCTGGAAATTAATGTTTAGAACCTTGTTCCCAAGGTTTGAAAAACATCCGATTGTTGTCTATTACTCGTATTTACTTGCTGGATTTTTTAATCCGGTGGACAGTCCATCTAGAAAGACCCTCCTGGATGAAGTTACAGAATCATCAACCCATACTTTACTTGTAGTGTGTCCTGCGTTTACCCACGTTTCATCAAGGTAATAAATCTTCCTGTTTTGATTTCTATATTTCAAAATTTTTGTTAAATAATCCCTCCTCCATAGCACAATTTCTTCTCTATCCAGTAGTAAACTATTACGACCCCGTTTTTTCCATTTGAAATTTAAATGCTTCAGTAACGCATGGAAAGTTGATCGTTTGAAATTTGGCAACGTTGTATCTCCATTTACCTCCTGCAGTACTTTATCTAGAGTAGGTATTTCATTCCTAAAGAAGAATTCATGCACTTTCCTCCTAATCGCATGCTTATCAGCTTCATCCAATGATTTAACAATACTTTTGCGATGTTTACTGGTCATTGGCTCAGAAAAGGTGTGATTTTTTTGTATTGTCTTAACACATGCGCGACACACCCCAACTTTGTGAGAAACCTTCACAACAATTTCTTTGAATGGTTGATGCCTCGTTCTCCTCGCGCTCGATCTTATATATATTCAAAATGACCTCTTTCATTTCTGCACTCAGGTGTCTTTTTTTAGAGCGTTTCCTAGGTGGACTACAGGAGTTTACAACTTCATCGGCAGTATCTGTACTACTGGGTATTTTGCGCAAGCAGTTGATAACAATAACAATCAATAACAAGGTATAACAATAACAACGACAAACTCAACAACTTAATAAGATAACAAACGAAAACGTCCAAAGAAATATCAAATTGCAATGATGCACACGACATACGTAACACGTCTGAACCTGAATGTGACTCTGCCTTGATACGACTGCTCTGCCGCTCGGCATAGGCATTTAATTGGGAATTGACCAATGAGGGCTCCTGTTTTACGTCGAGACGGCGGCGTTAGCGTGAAAATCACCCGAACCTTTTGTTTACATCCGGTCTATCTCTTATCTGAATATACTGTAGTGGCGTCGTACGCGTGTACATTTCTGACGCTCGCTTCCATATGAACAGCTAGTATTAATTCTGCGTCTTTTTAAAGCTAGCGTCATGCGGACGCGCGACATCTGAACCGCAGTCGTAGCCAATTCATTATTATTACTTGGTGAGAGCGATTTAATTATTCTTGGGTAAGCTTGAAAAATGATCTTCAAAATTTGTACATGTTAATTAAATATGCAGGGAATACGAAGTCAATCTATGAATCTCCCTGCTGACATTCGTCGGAAAACTTCTGAAAAGAGGGCTGCGATTAAGCAAGCAAAAAGGTCTTGTCATCCTGATGACATACGAATCTCGTCCATGGAGTGAGAAATGCTCTCCATGAATTCCGCAATGAGCAGTGGAGCGGCTTTCTGGCGGGGATGCTTGAAACCAGTATTCCTCTCTGGAAAGTGGCAAAATCGCTCAGAAACGGAAGGCAAGAACAACTACCACATATTCATGGTCTTGGAGGCATAGTTTTCAGGACTGAGGATAGAGTGGAAGTTTTTGCTGACATCACGGAAAGCCAGTTCTCTCCCAATTATGATCTGGACAATGACCTTGACGAGGAACGACTAATTGTAAGATCTGTCAGGAGATACTTCAGAGCGAATGGCGATACCAACATCGGTGCTAACATCGGTGACTCCTTTTCAGGTGATTCTTCTACGAAAGACTCTTCAGATGAATCTCAGCATAGCACATCAACTGAATCTTCTGAGATTCCGTTTTGCACACCAGCAGAGCTCCAAGGCCACATAAAGGACCTAAAGGTGCGTGAAGCACCTGGACAGGATCAAATCACCAACAAAGCACTGAAGTTGCTTTCGCTCAAGGCTTTGACTTATCTGGTGGCAATAATCAATTCAATGCTCATTACTTTCCTAAGGCGTGGAAGGTCGCTGAACTCATCATGATCCCAAAGGCAGGTTCGATATTCCCTCGGGATTACCGCCCCATTAGTCTGCTGTCAGCTCCTTCTAAGCTCGCTGAAAAGGTGATTTATCGTCACCTTGAGAATTTCTCGTCAGATCACGATCTGATTCCTGACGTGCAATTCGGCTTTCGGTCTGAGCATACTACGGAGCTACAGGCAGTTAGACTGGTGGAGCATGCAACCACGGGGTCCACCCTGAACAAAAGTCCTGGTATCTTGCTTTTAGATGTATCAAAGGCATTTGACAAGGTGTGGCAATCTTTTCTAGAAGGAAGGAAGCTTCGGATCAAAATTAACAATGTGTTGTCAACAACACGGCCTGTAAGAGCCTGTGTGCCCTCAGGGTTCGGTCTTAGGATCAATCATTTATTCACTTTATATACAAGACGTCCCTTGTCCCAGCAACTATGAAGTCAATCTCTATGCTGACGACACTGCATTGCTAGCCCAGTCTTGTTCTGGTAACCTGGTTCAGGACAGGCTGCAGAGTGCGGTGGAGGAAGTATTGGAGTGGGCGGATCGGTGGTTGATCAAAATTAATACTTCGAAAACGCAGGAAATCTATTGTACTAAAAACCGCCACGGTGCCCCCTCAGAGATATCAGTGAATGGAACTCGTACACCATGGGAGCAATCAAGTCAGGTATCTTGGAGTCATCATTGACAAGGGGTTGACCTGACAGAAACATACTGATACTTTGAAAACAAAATTCCAAATTACCTTTCGGCAGCTTTATCCTCTGTTGTGCAGAAATTCAAAATTAAGTTTGATCAACAAGATTCGGTTGTATAAAATGGTCATAAGACCCGCAATTACCTACGCATGCGCGGCTTGGTGTTTTCTTGCCAAGACGCACATGCAGAGACTGCAAGTCCTGCAAAACAGAACCCTACGCACAACTACTTACGCCCCTTGGTACGTGTCAAATGAGACCATTCACAGAGATCTTGATATCCCATATCTAAGGGATTATGTAAAACAACAGGCGCAGCGGCGTTATAATCAAGCGGAATCGCACAGATACCCTCTGTTGAGTGATTCAGTAGAATACAGTCGAGCAAATTCGCAAACAATCCAGGCCGCACCTCACACTGTGATCAAAATGAAATTGTAAATTCAGTAAACAAAACCGATCAAAATTATTTTTTGGAGATACAAAATAATTAGAGTAGTCAAAGCAATAATGCTTAAGCTATTTCAAATAATTTACTTCTTCTCTTTGCTCTATTTCTTCCTTCCTTTCTTTCCTTCTTTCCCTTTTCCCCTTAAACATGTTTGGTATCTGGGTAGCCAGTCCTGACAGACTAACAGACCGAGGAGACTTTTAACTAAGAGCAAAGGTTCACCGGACCGCTCTGACGAATAATGACGAATAGTAGTAGTCAATCTATGAACTTGGTATGTTCCCATTGATCACTGTTACACCAAATAGTTTATGAAACGGTGGAAGTGCATGAAAGTTATTCGATAGCCTAATAATGCCATCATGTTCTATCATCTATCAAAGTAAGTTTATTCTTTGTTTATCTCAAGCAGCATTCATTAAATACTCGTATTATCAACTTATCACCATCGTAAATTCATTAGGCTCTTGTAGCATGTGATTTTTGGGAAAAATTGTATTTGAATGATAAGAGGCAAATTTGATGTTGGAGGTACCTCAAGAATCACCGAAAAGTAAAGGTCACAAAACATAATGAATATGATTACATAATATCATTATCTTTGAATTTTAATCAAGTGTAGGCAGGTTAAGGTCCAGTGATTTTTACTTTCAATTATCTTCAAACAAAACTTCAGTCAATTTTGAGCCATCTGCGGTGATATTAACTCAAATGCAAGAGTGATTATAGTAGGTTATATCACCCTTTCCTCTAACCGAGTTGATAGGATTTTTTTTTAGGAACAAAATCATTATAAAATTGTGCATCGCCCTGACATCAAGCAGAAACAAAAGTTATGGGTGGATTTTAAGAAACGCGGAAGTCATTTTAGCTTGAAGAAAACAAAGCAGATATTTGGATCAAGTATACGCTAAATTCTTGTTGGGGTAATGGTGTTATTAAATTTTAACGATGTTTTGGAAAACCTTACTTTATATGGAACTGGCAGAGCCATTGTTGATAGAGACTGTGCAGGCCGTGGTAAATGGCGGACGCTATGATACTGAACAAGTGCTAAATATTGATAAACCTACTGCAGAGGATTGTTAAGGACTATTGCAGATGGAATAAAAAATCTTTCACTCAAGAAAGTGGGGAGAAACTTTATCTCATGTAGAGGGACAGTAATGGAACAAAATTGAGCTGGAAGATATAAATGTGTTTTACAACTTATTAATTTGGACATTTAGTACAATGATGGGCGCTTGATGGAGAAATTAAAAGTACATGCTTTTTAGCGGAGTGTACTCGCTGGTTTGCCGTTTGTTTCTTTGTCTCCATACGACTAGATACCGTATTGTTGATAGCAATAAAGCATTAAACAACGTTATATTCGGTTGTCCGTGGTTACAGAGACGGAAAGCAGACAGATTCAGTTCAGCCCATGTTGATTTCAGATGTGGATTTCGGAAAGGAAGGTCGTGTCATAAGGCCTACATGTCCAGGCAGCGCATATAAACTCGGATACATTTAGACGTTATATAACAATCCTTACCGCAGCCGATCCCTGTATGCTACAGGTATCCGTCATTTGTAAACCACTAATCACTACACTCCACCCACACGGTATCACCGCACACGCGCAGTAATCCGAGCGGACAATCCTACCTGTTGAGGTGGTCTCCTTCGCGCTTTCTCCAGAGCCTCGCTGGACCCGTGGACCATCTTGTTGTGCCTGAGCAGCTTCTGGAAGTGTCTGCTGGCATACAAGCAACTAGGACACTCGTAGATCTTCACCTTCTCATTGTGGCTGTCGCGTAGATGGTAGAGGTACTGTCTGGGGTTCTGCGTGAAGAAGTCACAGGCGCTGCACGTGTAGTTCCTCTTGACTTTGCAGTCGGGCAGCCCGGCGGCTGGCGACGCTGCCGCGGCGTCGTCCTCGTCGGCATCGCCGTCGGACGTGGTCGTCGCGACGCTTTCCACGTCACACACTCCGGCAGATGTGCTGGCAAGATGCTGCGGAGATGATTGCAGCGGTGGAGGGTCGAATAGGCTGCGTACCACCAGGCCGTTCACGGATCGGTGCACCATTGAGGATGGCACCGACATGGCACCTCGGACTGTCCACTCCTACTTCACCTTTCTGCAACAAAATAATTAATTTATCTGTCTGTGTTGGATTTTAGGAAACTTTGAAATTCAAAATGACTTCGCGCGATCTCAGCATGTTACGAAACTTTTAGGCTGTTCTAGTAACACAATGTATTGGAATGTGATAATGAAAAGAAAGAAAACTTGGAAGACAGATAAGTAAAATATATTGTCACTCTACTAAAGATCTTTTGTGAATGAAACGTTTACAGGGGTGACTTTCTAAAGACGGGTTTACACGCTTCGTCTTATTGTACATTTTGTGGGGCAGGACAAATCCTATTCAATAAAACGTGGCTTGTAAACAGCAAAACGTACATCTTGTCGAATCGAAATGAAATCAACGGTCAGATTGATAAGACAAAACGAAACTGTAGACTCAGGTTCAGACAAGACGTCCGATCTTGGCTCAGTTCACGAGTAGCACCACTTCAGTTCGCTTCTTTTTTCCCCAAAAAACGTACTAATGACATACTTGCAACCCACGATTTTCTCGGGGAATTCATTGAAATGCATGAAAGTTTCCCGTGCTTGAGGCAAGTAAAAAATAAAAACCGTAATAAAACAATGTGGAAGAGGATCTTATAAAAAAATACAAAGAGTGGACCCGCTGGCAAATAAAGAGACTGTTACAAAAAAAAACTCGTTGAGAGGGCATCAGAAATCTCTGTTACTAACTATAGCGATTGACAATAAGCTGAGGTGTCCATTCATAAATAATTGCTCCAGCCATCAGGTTCGCTCCTTAGTTGTTTCAATAACGAGACGTGAGAATACTGAATTCTTTTCAGAAGCCACTCCCTTGACCATCTTGTCTTTTCCCCCTTCATCCCCTTTCCTCTCAGTCGTTGTTTCCTTCTAGTTGGAAAAATGAAAGAAATCAGCAGGGTTTCCTCCATAATAAAAAAAATGTCTCTCAAAGAAATTCACTAAACAACCCTTACACAACTCAAGAGTCTAGATTGGAATTGTAGTAGAAAGCGGAAGGGAAAACAGGTAGTGTGTATACTAGACAAAACGTACGTTTTGCATGCCCGAGAAAACGCACACTCAGACGTAGCGTGTAAACCCGCCTTTGTAGGAGAAAGCAGAAGGAAAAACACGTAGTGTGTATATACTAGACAAAACGTACGTTTTGTATGCCCGAGAAAAAGTACAATAAGACGTAGCGTGTAAACCCGCCTTAAATCACTTGGTAATATAATACCGTATGCAGATGAAATTTGACTCTGGAATAGTGTGTAAATTTATTTTGAGAACACCTATTACAGCTCCATGTAATGACACTTGATGACAGCCCACTGATTTCTAACCACGTTTTCTGCGACCATTTTTATTATAAGAAACGTGTGAAACATGTACGTATATTCTGTCAATTTTAAGCAATTTTTGGTAACCAAATAAAGTAAACAAAAAGTGAACTATGACAAGCGACAACACTCTTATTGCCAAGGTCTTGAGCACGGGAAGAAAAGTGCACTTTCAGAAGGATTACTTCTACGCATTCTTGCAGGGCAGTACAAAGTACCCACTGTAACAATTGACAAACGCAGACAGTAAAGAAGATTTTGTCAATACATGTGGTTTTAGTGACCAGACAAGTGTGGGGAATTATTGAAATATCTTGGAGACAATGAAACAATAACAGTTTCATTTGAAAATAATACCATGTTTTCATCAATCACAAAGAAAAGTAATCTGACAGGACTCTCAGAACAAGTAGGTATACTAAGTGACATATAAATCCGAACACCCAGTTTAAATGGTTTTATTTTAATAAAAGTTGGTGAATGTATTTATCTTACTGTAAATAACAAGTGAAAAAATTTTCAGCCTTATCAGTTGGACATTCCGGTTTTTATACTGCTTTTTTTTAATTCACTTACGCTCTAAAAATGAATATTTCAACCGCAGTAAAGAATCAACGTTGGCGGATTTTGGTTCTTGACATCCTTTACGATCGGTTACGATGCCTAGAGTACGGAGACCTGCACGATTTCGTCAACTTAGTGAGTTTGATAGGGGCCGTATAGTGGGACTTCGGGAAGCCGGTCTTTCTTTTCAGGCAATTGCAGTTAGAGTGCAAAGAAGTGTAGACACTGTGGTTAGGTGTTGTCAGGCATAGCTTCGAGAAGGCCGTACGCAAAGAGCAAGCCGTAGAACAACAGACCGTGAAGATCGCCGCCTAAGATTACTGGCCTTAAGGGACCATTTCTCCACTACCAGGTCCATTGCAAATGAATGGTTTGCAGAACACGGAAGACCTATTGGCATGCGAAGTGTTTACCGACGAATAAGAAGTTTTGGCTTGTTTTCATACCGGCCACACTGGGTCCTCCCCCTTTAACTCGAGAACACCGACGTAATCGCCTTGAGTGGTGCAGACAACGGTCACTCTGGGATCAGGAATGGAACAGTATTGTCTTTAGTGACGAGTCTCGATTTTGTTTAGGTATGCACGATGGTCGTGCCAGGGTTAGAAGGCGACGTGGTGAAAGGAGGAATCCACAGTTTTTTGTTGAAAGACATGTTCATCACACTGTTGGAGTTATGGTTTGGGGTGCTATAGCTTATGGTTCCAGGTCACCTTTAATCTTCATCAGAGGTAACATGAACGCGCAGCGTTATATCCACGAAGTTCTAGAACCCCATATTTTACCCTATCTTGACACCCTGGCAGATCCAACTTTCCAACAAGATAATGCCCGACCACATGTTGCAAGAGTCACAATAGACTTCTTTCAACATAATGATGTCACATTGTTACCATGGCCACCAAGATCTCCCGACTTATCCCCAATTGAGCACGTGTGGGATATGATGGGTAGGAGATTGCTCAATTTGCAACGACCTCCTCAGACTCTAGAAGTACTTCGAGAGGAGTTGGTAGTTGCCTGGAATGAGATACCACAGGAGGACATTGACCACCTGATCAGAAGCATGCCTAGGCGCGTTGGAGAATGCGTAGCACATCAGGGTGCATCCACACATTATTAAAGGTCAAAGGGCTTTAAAGCAGTGCAATCATTTTGAAATTTTTATCATTTATTTATTATGCTTCATTAAGTACTTATACAAAATTTTATTAAAATAAAACCATTTAAACTGGGTGTTCGGATTTATATGTCACTTAGTATACCTGCGTGAACTTCTGACCTATGCCTGACATATGGGTGGGTGACGAGTGGCGAGGACAATGTTAATCACAGCAGCGTTGCCAGATGGTCAATACGGTCCGTAGGGCAGGGGAGAAATTTATAGGTCACAACTTTGTCAGTCGGGTGGGAACTACGGACTAATTTTGAAGGCCTGTTTGACTGACTTGATCCCTTCTACTACTTATACAAAATTTTATTAACATAAAACCATTTAAACTGGGTGTTCGGATTTATATGTCACTTAGTATATAAAATACAAATGTTAAATGCTCCGCTGAACGTCCATCAAGGAAGCGTTATTGTTTCATTTTTTCCGAGGAGCATAAATATATATAGTTAACTATAATATTTTTACTTGCATAATTCTTTTTATACCATCACTGTTATCCAGTATGTTACCATTCATAGAGCTGAAGCTGATAGGTAGTATAAATCAGCTAAATGGCAACACTAGCCCAATAATCCCATTAGGGCTAGGTGGTCAATACCCAATCGGTATTGCCATTTATGCTTCTTATCATGCTTGAGTGGTGTAATACTAGTAGTGACATGATGTGGATGTCTGACCGAACTTTCGGTTTCCGTTTCGGCCAGTTTCTGTCCAAAATCAGAGTTTCGATACCGAAAGTACTTTCGTATGTTTTCGGACGTCAATTTATTCAGACCAAAAATCGAATTTGCTGGGGGGAAAAATGCTGAAAAATTGTTACTCATGTCATATAATATCAGACTGTACAAATTATGTTTATTAAATTATGTTCTAATGGCCTATTGCACCAACATTCAATTTGAGTTTTGCAAGCCTACAGAAATTTAGGCACTAAAAAAATGTAATTAAGATGGTAGATAACTCACAAATTATTGGGGAATTCCAGTTCAGGTTCAATTTTATGCAGAATATTTAAAACTATACAAACTATATTTCTTAGAAAATGACATAGTTACTAATCTATTGGAAATGGTTTTTTTTTGATCTTTAAATGATTCTTGTAGAAAGCCACTATTTATTAGTTCAAGGATACCCAAATCACTGTTAAAAATATCATCATGACCAATAAAATCCATTTTTGAAGACTAAAAATGTATTAGACGATATTTAACCTCCAAAAGTAGATCGTTTAAGTTAAACACAGATCACAAAATTTTAAACGGCGTTTAAGTGCTTGTGCAATAAAAATCTCCAAATTAAACTAGATTTCCGTCTAAACTAGGGTTAAATAGGTGCAACAGCCTATAGGTTGGTATTTTTCGCTTATTGTCTGTCTTTTTTACAAAATAAAAGACATTATTTATTATATAAGAGACAAATGTAGTACTGTTTTAGTTTTCTTTACCTAAGTCTTTATTATATTTGATAAAAGATTATTACATATATTTTGGGCTTTGTGGTATGCGGTTAGAATCGGGATAAACTAGAGTAGTTTTTAACAGAATTCTAAGAACGTGAACGCTTTTAGTTTTTTTTTTACAGAAATTCAAAAGTGAGACTTACATTTTTTGTTCTTTGTAACCCTCTGTGAGTTTATAAATAAAAAACTACATGCTGCTCTCAAGTAATGTTGATTTTGTAAGATTGGTACAACATCACCCATTGAGAAAAATTAATCATTAGGTGGACGTACTCTTTATTTTTTTTATTTCACTTTGTGTATTACATTTTGGAGTTTTTACTAAAAAAAATTAAAAAATCTAATTAATGCCGTTGGGCTAAAACCTGTTTGAGGGACCTGGGGTGATAGAAAAAGACCTCCCCTGTCCGCCATTTCAATTTGGCAAACGATGCACCAAACTATTATTACC